TTAGACTTGAACCATATATTAGTTTTTTTATAGTCACTTCTCTGAAACCACTCCCTTCAGAAGCAACTAGTATGATTCTTTGTACTCCGTAGGCACTCAATAAATATCAGTAAAATAAAAAGTGTTCTTGAGACCGTTTATCTCTGCTCCCTCTCAAAACCATATTAAAATGATGGTAAAGGAATAAAAATGCTATGATCTATCAAAAACAAAGACTCTAGAAGAGGAGATGACAATAGACGGATATGACAATAAAATTGACAGGTGGAAAGCAAATGGATAAATGCCAACTGACCTAGGAAAGCAAAGAAAGCCAAAAGCAAAGACAACCAAAACCAAAGAAAACTGACAACACCCATAGAGAAAGTAGTCAACAAGAAGCAGATATGTATAACTGAGCCCCAGAAAGTTACAGGAACTGAGGGCACCAGGTACTTCCGGAGTCACCAGGCACTTCTAAGGGCAGAAGCAAAAAGTGAGGAACAGGCCAAACACAGTATGACAGATTCCCTCCCTCACCCCAATCAGGTGACAATCCGTCCCCAACCCTGGCAGAAGGCTGGACATTCACTCTTAGAAGAAACTCAACCAGAGAACCTTTGGACTTTAGGACACAAGGGCTTGCTGAAGGAAAGAGTAATTAAGTACTCAAATAATTAAGGAAAGAGTAATTAAGTATAATCCATACATTGAACAGTAAGGAAAAGCACTCCCCCCACCCCACCCCACACACAACTGTCTTTCCCTGTTCAACTCCAAAATGGTGGCGATCAGGCTTATTTGGCCTTCATTCCATGTAGGAGGGTGAAGAAATTGAAGACCTCAGAGCAAAGACATACAGATACTGACATTTGGAGATCACCAATGAAAAGGCTTCTGGCTACCTGATCATTCTACAGAGAAACCCCTCTTTATTAGACAGTCTTTTCTAAAACACACAAATTCTAATCAGCTTTCAGACGTCTCACCCAAGCCAAGGTTCACCAGACTTTTAAGGCAAACCACCTACATGAAAGACAGAGCCCAAGGGAACTTGAGGGGAAACAGACATAATGCTAGGAGCAAAAGAAGAAAAAAAAACCCTAAAAGCAAACAGACAAAAATAAAACCACCTTAGGGAGATGAAAGCAGCCATGGCATTTTGCAAGAACAGGATGCTGTAAAAAAGGAATGTGGAGACAATGAGAAGTACCTGGAAATAAAAATATGACAGTAGAAATTGAAAATTCAATAAAATGGGTTAAAAAGTTGAGGAGATCTCTGGATAAGGAAAATAAGAAGATTAAATTATGTAAAATAGCAAACAAAATAATACAATTAGAGGCTCCATTTGGAAGTCAAAAATCCAATGAATAGAACTTCCAGAAAAAAAAGAAAAGAATACAAAAAAAGAGAGACAAAATTATCTAAAGAAATAATGCAAGAGTATTTTACAGAATTGAGGGTATGAATTTCCTGATCTAAATGGCTCATAACTGTATACCAGCAGTTGAATGAAAAACACTCAATATCTTCATGAAAATTCAGAACCCAGGGATGTTAAAGAGAAAATTTGCAAAAAACTTTCAGAGAAAAAGAGAAAAAATGGCATTAGCCTGTCACAGTCACATTGGAAGCTAAAAGATAATGGAGCAATGCCTTCTCAACTGAGATGAAATCAATTCCAACCTAGAATATTAATCCCAAACTATCAACAAGTTGAGAGAAGAGAGAGTTGTATATATACATTGTTTCAAAAACTTTACCTCCCATGTACCTTTTTTCAGGTAGCTATCAGTTGATGTGTTTCACTAAAACGGGGATATAGGACAAGAACCAGAAAGACATGGGATCAAGGAAACAGGGTTTCTGACACACGGAAGAGGGGAAGAAGGGATTTCCCAGGAAGACAGCTGCATAGCAAGCCCAGAGAGCAAACAGTCCACACAGCAGGAAGAAGAAAGAGGTCCAGAAAGGAGGTCTTTAAGAAAAAAAAAAAAAAAATGGAACTGAGAAATTTCCTGGTGCGCTTCACCATATGGAGAGGAGTTTTATAGTCCTGTCAGAAAGTTTAGAAAGGAAGTGGTGTCAAATATATAGAAAACTAAGCGAAAGAAGGCATTAGTAAGATAGGACTGAGTCCTGTCCCAAAAGTTAAATAAGAAATAAAATATAACCATAGTCTGCCATATGGCTCAGCTGTGAATAATATTTACATGGTCAGATTTATATAAATGCTGAATATTTATTTAACCAAATATTACGATAGAAGTATCTTGGGGGAATGAAAGAATGGAAGTATGAGCTGATGCCAGAAGAAGGGGAAGGAGTGAGATAGGTAGAAGAAAGCCAAATGCTCATTTTCCATAAAAGTGAGTAGATTACCTCTGAAAATGAAAAATCAAAATTCAAAAGTATAAACTTGTTATTTTGAAGAAGCTGCTAAAAGAGATGAAAGTGATTGCTCCTGGGGGGCAGTACTTGAGGACAGAGTGAGGTGAAGCAGGAGATTTTTTTTTATTCATTTTGTAGAACCATTGAAATTTTTAAACTAGGGGCCGGCCCTGTGGCACAGCAGTTAAGTGTGCATGTTCACTTTGGTGGCCTGGGGATCGGCAGTTCAGATCCCAGGTGCGGACATGGCACCACTTGGCAAGCCATGCTGTGGCAGGCATCCCACATATAAAGTAGAGGAAGATGGGCACAGATGTTAGTTCAGGGCCAGTCTTCTTCAGCAAAAAGAGGAGGATTGGCAGCAGATGTTAGCTCAGGGCTAATCTTCCTCAAAAAAGAAGAAAAAATTTAAACTATGTACTGATATTACTGTGTTAAAAATAAAAGTCAATTTGAAAAACTAAATAATTAATTTGAAACAATAACAATCAACCAACTAAAAAGGAAGCCTTCTGGAAATCCTAATACAGTAGATGATGTAGATGGTCAAAATTCCTTGTGGACACACAGTCCTCTTTACATCCATTCTCTGGATCACCACACCCACCTCTGCCTTGTTTCCTTCTCCAGACCCCTAATTAGGACAATTCCTTGCACTTAGATTCCAAAAGATCAAGCCATCAATGAGTATATCACTCACAGAGCAATTTAGGGAATAAAACAAAAAATAAAACTGGGCCTCTGCTTTCAACTTACATGAATTCTGTTTGAGAGGCTATGGTATATGCAGGAAACAGATAATAATACACATTAATCACAATTAAATACTAACTTGTATAGTACAGACTATATGGAGTTCAGAGACAAGTCAGACCAGAGAGATGTGCCTGGAGCAGTGGGAGGCAAAGCGGAGAGTGGAAAGGAAGAGGCTGGATGTGGAAGTTGGGTCACATCATTGCAATGCTCTGTAGGTCATTGTCAAGGTTTGGGGGTTTTACTCCAAGTGTAATGGAAACGGAAAAAAAGGATCCCAGCCTTGGAGTGACATATTGTTAAGAAGATCACTCTGATCATTAGATGAAGAATGGCTTGGAGGGAGACAAAAAACAACAGGGAGAATAGTTACAAGGCTATGGAAGTTTTCAGGGAAGAGATTATGGTGGGTTGGATCATAATTGCGGCTGCGGAGATATGGATGATTAAAGACCAATTATAGAAATAGAATCAATAAGATTTGCTGATGTCTTTCTTATGTAGAGGACGGGCGGAAGGACTAGGAAGAAGAAAGAGCTAAGAATGACTCCCAGAATTCTGATTTGAGCAATTGAGTGGATGGTGGTTTCACATTCCCAGATGGAGGAAGACGGGAAGGTACTGGTTTCAGAGAGGAAGGTTAAAAGATAGGTATTGAACAAATTAAGATGCAGATACTTGAGATACCCCACTAGATTTGTCAAGTAATCAGTTGATTCATTGTCCTCTCTGAATACCATGTTCTAGGACACCACATGGGTTTGTGGCTCAGCCCAGAAGTCCTATCTATTGTCAGTTTGGGGGAGCAGTTGGCAGTGGAAGTCATGAAAATGTATGAGACTGTTTAGGGTAGTGGTTTTCAAACCTGGAGTGTGTGCTTGCAATGTAATGTTCAAGACCCCATCCCAGAGTGTTCTGATTCAGTAAGTCTTGGTGAGGTCCAGGGATATGCCTTACTAAAAATCAACTCTAAAGATTCTGATAAAAATAGTTCAGGTTCAGATTGGAATGGGTTTAAGCACAATCCAGAGTGAAGAAGTAGCAACAAGTACAGCCAACGCTTTCCAGAAGTTGTAGAGAAAAAGAGAGAGGTGGGTAGGTAGAGGGGGATATGAGGCCAAACAGAGGGTTACTTTTTTGTATTATTAGTTTCTTTAAAGGCAGGAGACACTAGAGCAGTGTTTCATAACCTTGGCTACACATTGCAATCACCTGCTGAGTTTTTAAAAATATCGATGCACAGGATCCATCCCAAACCAGTAAATCAAAATCTCTGGAGATGAGGCCCAGATATCAGTATTTTTTTTTTAATCTTTCTTTATCCTCCTCCAAGCATTATTTTTATTTCCCCAGTTCCTGGCATACAGGATGTCCTCCATTCCTGTTCGTTGTTGTGGAAAGTATTGCTGGCCACTTAGCAGATGATACTGACAGCAGGAAACCACTATATGTATTGTGAAGTCCATGCAATCTTCGTGCGAAAAGGATTACAGTCCAATTACCTTGCTTTCAAAAGTGGGAACTGAAGCTCGAGTGGAATTACATTTCTAAGGTCTCTCCGCCCTGGTAGTGGCGAATCAGGACCAGAACCCAGTATCCCAACTCCAGGGTAAGAGCTGTCGTGCTTTTCAAAGATCTTCATTTTGACCACTCCCCAAACCCATCAAGACAGCCTGTCTAATAATACCTCCTTCTCAACACTCCATTTCCTCAGTTACAAGCCGACCCTGCCGTCCGTTTCATCAAACCCACAGTCGCTCCCAAACCCGCCTCTGAGGCGGACCCATCCTAGCCCCATCACAGCCTCAAGCCCAACCCCCGGACTTTGCCCCTGGGGCTTTAGGAGCACTCACTGCGCTTGCGCCACTTGGCCAGCAGACCGTCGCCATAGCAACCGGAGACACTCGCATTGGCCTGCGGCAACAAGGGGAGAGGAGTTCCTGGTACGTACAGTTCCTTTTTGTATATGTTTTCCTTACCGCTTCCCGCGCCTGATGGGTGAATTTGAGAGTCTGGTAAGAAAGCTCCATCAGACACTGTGTAGGGCCGGAGAGAAGGGAGAAAAGGAGCCAGTCACTAGGCTGACCAGTACATCCAAGGAAGGTGGCTCAGGGAAATCTGACGCTTAACCAGCCCGCCCCTTTCAGGATTGGCCAGAGCCTAGACAGGCCAGCCAATCACTGGGCAGAGATAGATTCTTTATCATGCCAATCAATGTTAAAATAAGCGTTAAATCCAGAGTATTTGTATGGCACTGACCAATCAAGAGACCGGGAGGGGATGATTGGCAGGTCTTGAGGTGGGGCTTGCAATTGTTTTGGTTTTCTTAATTCTCTCTCTAAAATGCAAGTTAACCCAAGTTTATGTACCATAGTATTTGTCCTTGATTTCGGCAGTTGTTTAGGCCTTTGTGACCCAGTGCTTATGTTCCGAAGACTATACTTTGACATCCCGTCTTCTCCAGGCCCCCACTTCCTCCCTGTTAAGGTATGGGTTTGGAAGTTCCTTCCTGCTTTATTTTGAAATTGTTTGTACGTGGTCCATTTAGCCTGGAAGAATCTGCTGTGGACTTTGGCTGTCAGAAACTTTCTGGGATGCAAACTGTGCATGAAACTTTCCCTTCTCCTGCAACTTCCTCCACATCAGACCCACTCTCATTAGAAGTGGGAATAAGGGACTTTACATTTCCCTCCACTCCATTTTCTTCGTGTATTAACTACTCTGTGTCCCCAATGTCTTTCCCTTCTGTCTCTCTTGCCGTGAATCCTATTCTAAACCATCCCCTCTTCATTATCTTTGGCCTTTTTCATTCTTTCCCTCCCCTCCGGATACAAAAATATTTGAGTCTCCTCAGTCTAAAAAAAAGCTCTCATGTTATAATTGTTGAATTGAATCCCCTCTCTCCCATTCCCTTCAAGCTTTCTGAAAGGACTTATCCTCTTCTTCACTTCCTTTTCTCAACACATTCTGCCCCTTCTCCTTTGCAGCTGTTCTTGCTGGAGTCGCCAATAACTTCCTAATTAGGAAATCCAATTACAACTTGTTTTCCACTCTTTATCTTTATCTAAACTTAGCATCACTTGAAATTGTTGACCATTCTCTCATTAGTAATAATAGGTGTAATTTATTAAGCATGTATAGCTCCAGACAATGTACAATGTGATTTATGTGGTTATCTAATTTAATACGAACACCCCATGCTAACACTCCCAATTTACAATTGTGGAACCAGCCTCAAGGAGCCGAATTAACCACTTCTAAGTTATCCAACAAGATAGAGTTAGGATGCAAACCCGCGTCTCCTAACTGAAGCCAGTGTTCCTTTCCACTATACCATGCTGCCACCCTCCCTGTCCAGTTTCACCTGTCATTTCCACCCTGACTCAGGCAACCCTCCCCCCCACCCCCGCACACACACCAGCACACGTGAACTGCTTACAAGGCTTGTGAACCACCATGAGCAGTTCCTTTTACTTGGGAAATTACTCTCATTTCATTTGCCTCATGAAAGCCTATTTCGGGTACTGAGACTCAGCTCAGAAATTACCTTCTAGGACAAGTCAATGGAGTTTTTCCAGTCTCCACACTTACCCTAGGCAGAGCTTAGGTGGAGAGAAAATCAGTTCCTGATTCCCCTACATACCTTTCACGCTGCACTTATCTCATTGTTTTGTTGACATGATTTTCAAAAAGTTAAAAATATGATTTTCTTTGATATGAATGGACACGTTTCAAAGATTTTACCTACCTCATTGAGGGAGCCAGTAAAACACTAAAGCTGGTTTAAAGAGAATTTTGAGGAATTGGGTATTTATAGGCATTTTAAGAAAACAATGTTAGAATAAGATTGCTAGGTTAGATACAAACTGGTTAATGTTCTACAAGGCAGCAAAACCATAATCTTTGAAATTTTCTTTTCTAAAGGCCATAGATTCCTCTAGTTTTGGCCATTTACATTTAAATTTTAACTAAATAAAATTAAGTAAAGTTAAAAATTCAGTCCCTCACTCACCCTAGGCACATTTCAAGTATTTGATTGTCACATGTAGCTAGTGGCTAATATATTGGCCAGCTCATATATAGAACATTTGCATCATCCCAGAAAGTCCTTCTAGGAAATGGTTGGGCCTCTTAAACATTGCTTTAGTATGACATTGAAAGAACATGCTGTACTCTGTTTTGCTTTTTTTTCCAAATTTAATATATATATTTTTTAAAGAATCTCCTTCACATGACCACTGGCTTTCACACTTTTCTAAACAAGACCCACATTAAGAAATAAATTTTTGGTCAACTAATATTTGACAAGGGAGAAAGAGTACTCAAAGGAGAAAGGGTAGTCTCTTCAATAAATAGTGCTGGGAAAACTGAATATTCACATGCAAAAGAATGACATTGGACTCGTCTTACACTACTCGAAAAAGTTAACTTGAAATTAACTTGAAATGCACTTAAAGGTAAGACCTGAAATCATAAAACTCCTAGAATAAAACACAGGACAAAAGCTCCTTAACATTGGTCTTGGCAATGATTTTTTTGGATATGACACCAAAAGCACAAGCAACAAAAGCAAAAATCAGTAAGCAGAAATACATCAAACTAAAAAGCTTCTAGACAACAAAAGAAATGATCAACAAAATGAAAAGGCAAACTAGGGAATGGAAGAAAATATTTGAAATCATCTTTCTGATAAGGGGTTAATATCCAAAAAATATAAGGAACTCAATAGCGAAAAACCAAACAATCCAAATAAAAAATGGGCAGAGAACTCGAATAGACATTTTTCCAAAGAAGACATACAAATGACCAACAAGTACATGGAAAGGTGCTCAACATCACTAACCATCAGGGAAATACAAATCAAAACCACAACGAGATATCATTTCACTCCTGGGAGAATGGCCATTATTAAGAAGATAAGAGGTAACAAATGCTGGGGAGGAGGTGGAGCAAAGGCTACTCTTGTGCACTGTTGGTGGGAATGTACATTGGGGTGGCCACTGTGGAAAACAGTATGGAGGTTCCTCAAAAAATTAAAAATAGAACTACCATATGACCCAGTAATTCCACTTCCGGATATATATCTGAAGGAAATGAAATCAACATCTTGAAGAAACATCCGCACCCCCATGTTCGTTGCAGCATTGTTTACAATAGCCAAGATGTGGAAACAACCTGAGTCCAGATGATTTTAGAAATATGTCTTTAAAGTGCTGAAAGAAAACAAAAATATTGTTAACTCAGAATTCTATATCCAGTGAAAATATTCTTCAGAAATTAAGGTGACTTTGAAAGGGTAACTGCCAGGAGCTAGGACGTCAGAGCGGAGGCTATGGAAGTATTCTAGCTGAGGGATAATGGGGCAGGGACCATGAGGACTGAAAGGGGAGACTCTCAGATGAGCTCTTTGGAGATCACCTGACCACTGAATTACCCCTAGAGTTAGTTTTCTAGAATAGAGGTCTTATCACACTGCTACTTACAAAATGATGTGTGGTGTCCCAGAGCACCCGAACCCCTCATCTTGACATGTGTGTCCCTCCCCAATCTCATCTCACCCTGTCTTAAAATTAGTTTTAATCAAAGCCACTACTTTAGAAAGAGAAAGAAGAGGCAAAATCATGAGTTTTTTCCTTTAAGAAAGGAATTCAATTTATTTTCACTGAAATTCTCTGCTAGCTAGATTTGTTGGGCCAGAGCAGGGATTCTCAGACTTGGCACTATTGACATTTTGGCTAAATAATTCTTTGTTGTGGGGGACTGACCTGTGGATTGTAGGATGTTTAGCAGCATCCCTGACCTCTATCCACTAGGTATCAGTAGCACCTCCAAAATTGTGACGACCAAAAATGTCTCCAGACATTTCCAAATGCCAATTGCCTCTAGATTAGCACTACTTTTTTTCTCAAAAAGAAAGAAAAGCCCACCATATTTATTTAGTTTAACATTTCTCCTGATCTAAAGAGAAAGATGTCAAAAGAAAATCTAGGATGTATACATAAGCATGCACTCCCCCGTTCTTAAGCAAGATAATCTAAAAGAAAGAAGGAGGGCAAAGTTCTGTGTAACAGATAAATTTATCTCTGCTTCTGGAAGTTGTTTCCTTGTCCCATTCCACATCCTCTTCTCGGGGCCACTTTTTTTTTTTTTTCATGCTTTTTATCATGGGTGCGTTCTTCAGCACGTCAGGCAAGATCAGAAAGCAGATCTCGCTGCCATGGATGTTCACCTACTCCAGCTGTGCCACTCCACGACTCCATAGGGGACCGGGATATTGGAAATCTGGCAGGTCCTGTTGGCCTCATTAGTCTCACGATACAGCTCGCCGGAGTTTTTGTCACATTCACGATGTGGCCCTCAGCGTCGTGTTAGGACTTTAATTGGCACACGAAATGTCATCTCCGCGGGAAGAAAATGCGGCCCAGCCCATCTTCCTTTCCCACGCGCCGCGCAGCTTCCGCGCTCCCAGAACTAAATTTTTTAGTGTATCAATTTATTGTTGACTTAAACTATTAATATCTACAGAGAAAAGAAAAACTCCCGTTTTTCCAAGAAAATTTTATTTTTCCCTCCTTTTATAAAACACGTTAAAATTTCTGATGCTTGAATTTCAAAACATTGTTTACATAATTACCAAGTAACAAAATTATGCCTGGTGTGCACATTAATGATGCCTCCAAGTTGTGTCATTTGAAGTAGGTGAAACAGAGCTCAAATTTACCACTGGTGTCTCAAGGCATATTATTTTCTAAAAGATTGAAAACAATCCAACTTCAATTGGAGCAAATGAGTTACTCCACTACTTCTTTCTCTTACAGCAAAGATGTTTTATAGGGTGAATTCTGAGTGTGTTTTTTTTTTTTTTTTTTTTTTTAGGAAGATTAGCCCTGAGCTAACATCTACCGCCAATCCTCTTCTTTTTGCTGAGGAAGGCTGGCCCTGAGCTGACATCCGTGCCCATCTTGCTCTGCGTTGTATGTGGGACGCCTACCACAGCATGGCTTGCCAAGTGGTGCCATGTCCGCACCCGGGATCGGAACCAGCGAACCCTGGCCCCAAGGCAGAACATGAGCACTTAACCACTGTGCCACCAGGAGGCCCCCTGAGTGTTTTTTAATCATAAGCTTTATGTTTTATTGATTACCCTCTTCAAATCATATGTTAATCCATTAGCCGCGATTCCTTTCTCTCCACTAGCCCCTCCCCAAGTAAACACCTTGGAATTCAAGATTCACGACCTTGCTTATGTCAAACCACCTTCAGCTTCTCTAGGCATGCAAAAATGAGGGGGAGTTTTCAAGAATGACAAGAAACATACCTGCCTAACTGCAAGCCTGTGACAGTCAACTATGTCATCTCTGACTATGTATTGTTAAAACTCCATTTTTTATGTTGCTAAAAAAAAATGTATCCTCTCATTCTTTAAAAACTGTCAGCTCTGTCAATGGGAAGAGAAAAAGTTTTAATCAGACAGACATTCTGTGTTAGCATAAGTATCTGTCTGCCAACAATTGTTGAAATGTAAGAATGAAGAGCTTTTACTGTATCTTGTGCAGAAACAGAATGAAATCTGGTTTTTGCCCCCCCCGCTGTCATCAGTGTCGTTTCCGGTTTACCTAATGGTATCAAAATGTTTGTCCGTCTTCTTATCTTCATCTCCACAGCAGTCCTCCTGCTGCCATTCCTGCAGCCACATCTAGCGGTTCAGAGTCACACAGGCCAGGACTGCAATCTTGCTCTGTCACTTACTGCTCTGTGATTTTAGGAAAGGTATTGGACCTGTTCAAGCCTTATTGCCTCATCTGTAAAATGGGAACAGTAATACCCTCTCATAGTGTTGCAATAGATACAGGAAACAATGCATGGGAAAGACTGCCTCAGTCAAGTCTCCTGGATTAAGAGATTGTTAGCTTTTTTGTGTTTGTAGAATGAATGATCAACTAAAGAAAGAAACCAACCCATATTAGTTTTAAAAATGAAGGGAGTGGATTTTACTGGAAGAATAGCGGGATAACCTAAATCATTAAGCCAAGGAAACATTGAACAACAAGGTGCAGAAAGGGCAGACATCAGTGCAGCATCTGAGACCTCAACAGCTGTCCCCATCGCTCAAAAATGTCCTGCCATTAACATGACTCATCTTCAAACTCCTTTAGCCCACATATCACTCAGCACAAATTTTCAAGAAAAAGAATTTGATTGCTACCCCCTACCTAACAGAGGGTCTTTTCTCAGCCAGTGTTCCATCCAAATCCAATAATCAGCTGTGGCTAGGGAGGAGGTTCCCACGTCACAAATAAGTTTGCAGGGCTTGTGAGAAGGAGAGCACGGCTGACACACACCCCAAAAAGTGTGTGGTTTCAGTGCTTGGAAATGCCTGGCACCTCATGAGCCCCTAATGAGTCTTAGCTATTGTTGTTATTGTTGATAGAGTTCCCTGTAATTTTCATCCTTCTTACATTTCGTTACACCATTTTTTTTTTACCACTGAAATGTCATTCCTCTTCTTTTTGAATGAAAATGAAGTCATTAATTTATTCATTCATGCGGAAAATATTTATTTCATACTTAACATGAGTCAGACAATGTTCTCGGCAATGGGGATACAGTGGAGAACAAAGTCCCTGCCTTCATGGTACTCCCATTCTAGTGGCGGCTGGGGACTTTAGGAATAATTGTCCCCACACACCATGAATTAATATAACTGGACGTGGTGAGAAGTTCCAAAAGGAAAATAAAACAGTTTGAGGGGATAAATAATGATAGCGGAGGAAGAATCAGGCCTAAGTGTGGGAGATAAAACGAGGGTCTGTGCACCGTAGTGAGGAGGCTGATTTTTATTTTTAGAGTGATGTGAACCCATTGAAAGGTTTTGGACAGAGGGATGGTGAGATCAGATTCATATTTATAAAACATCGCTCTGGCTGTTATATAGAGAATGGTTGTAGTAGAGCAAGCTAGAAAGCAAGGAAATAAGACAGGAGACTGCTGCAGTCTTTCAGGATGATGGTGGCAGTAGCAGAGGAGTACTGAAGAATGATCAGATTTAGGATGGATTTTGTGTTTTGTTTTATTACGAAATATTTCAAGCATACAAATATAGGGAATAATAGATTGGTATATCCACCTTCCAGTGCCATCATATCTTAACATTTTGCCATATTTGCTTCAGATCTTTTTTATTAAGAAAGAAAACTTTATAGGCCAGCCCAGTGGCATAGTAGTTAAGTTTGTGCACCCCACTTCGGTGGCCTGAGGTTCCAGGGCCTGGATCCTGGGTGTGGACCTACACACTGCTCACCAAGCCATGCTGTGGCAGCGTCTTACGGACAAAAAATACAGGAGGATTGGGACAGATGTTAGCTCAGTGACTCTTCTTCAGGCAAAAAGAGGAAGATTGGCAAAAGATGTTAGCTCAGGGCCAATCTTTCTCACCAAAAAAAAAAAAAAAGAAAGAAAGAAAGAAAGAAAGAAAACTTTGTAAATACAGTGGAACTCCCCAGAATAGCCCACAGATCCCATTCTCTTCTTCTCAGAGGTTCCTACTGTCCTGGTTTTTATATTCATCACTCACTTGTATGTTTTTCAGCTTCTATCACATATGTATCTATCCATAAATATACAGCATTGTTTTATATCTTTGAAAAGTGTATATAAAGGGTATATAACTTTTTTCCAACTTGATTTTTTCATTTAACATCATTTTGGGGATTTTTCCATGTTCTTATATGTAGCTCTGGCTTATTCATTTTTTTTCTTACTCTATGTGTAGCATTCTTTTGCAGGAACAAACCACAATGCATATATCTACTCTCCTCTTGATGTACAAGTAAGTTGTTTTCAATTTTTCACTATTACAAACAGTGATGTAATAAATATCTTTATACATATCTCCTGGTGCACATGTACATGTATGAGTTTCTCTAGGTTAGTGCTTCCTAATGTTTTTCAGGTCACAGCACACAGAGAAAATGATAAAATTTCTGTGGCATGTTGATAAACTGGAGTGGATTTAGGAACATCTATATGGGGCTTGATGAAAAAGCTCATTACTTTTTTCTTATAATCGTAAGAAAAAATGGAATACTAAAGTATTAAGGAAATCATAAAATATTTAATTTATATAAAACTTCTATATAAAAAATTTTGAGTTTTAATGAAAAGCTTGAGAGCACTTCCATGAGAAAATTTAATGTTTGAAATGTTTATATGTCCTGATCAAGACATTTTAAATGACAATGTCTTCAAATTCTTGTAGATACAATTGACAAGAAATGTTACATTTTTACAATCATTCAAAAGTTGAAATTATATATTAAAAACCTACTAGCCATTCCTTTTCTATGACTGACAAATATAATTTTGGAATTTTGAATGATAAATTAGGTTGTAGATTCCAGTTGTTTAGATAGTACAGAGTTCCCATACACCCCAGTTTCCTTTATTATTAACATCTTATATTAACATGGTACATATGTCATAGCTAATGAACAAATACTGATACGTTATGATTAACTAAAGTGGTCTAGTGGTTAAGATTTGGGGCTCTCAATGCCATGGTCTCGGGTTTGTTTCCTGGTTAAGGAAGCATACCACCCACCTGTCGGTTGTCATACTGTGGTGGCTGCATTTTGCTGTGATGCTGAAAGCTATGCCATCCGTATTTCAATACCAGCAGGGTCAACCATGATGGACAGGCTTCAGCAGAGCTTCCAGACTAAGATAGACTAAGAAGGACGTGGCTATCTACTTCTGAAAAACCTGGCCATGAAAACCCTATGAATAGCAGCAGAGCATTGTCCCATATAGCGCTGGAAGGAGAGAGGATGGTGCAAAGAAACCAGGCAGGGTTCCACTCTGCTGTACACAGTTTGCTAGGAGTCAGAATCAACTCAATGGCACCACCAACAAAAATTATTAAATAAAGTTCATACTTTATTCAGATTTCCTTAGTTCTTGCCTAAAGTCCTGTTTCTGTACCAGGACACCAGCCAGGATACCACATCACATTTTGTTGTTATGTCTCTGTAGGGTCCTCTTGGCTGTGATGGTTTTTCTGACTTTCCTTGTTTCTGATGACCTTGACACTTTTAAGAAATACTGCTCAGGTAGTTAGTAGAATGCCGCTGAAGTTAAGAGATTTGTCTGATGTTTTTCTCATGATTAAACTAGGGTTATGGGTTTTTGAGAGGGAGACCACAGAGGTAAAGTGCCATTCTCATCACATCATTTCAAGGGCATATACTATTATCAAGTTCTCATCAGAACTTGGGAGGTGATAAAAAACTATCTCATGACAATCTCTGTGATAGAGAAGCAAATGAAAAACAGACTTGTAAACAGCTCCTAACAAACATCCCATGTTGGTTTTTAGTCATTTAATCATGTTTCCTGGTATGTCTGGTAACTTTTGAGTAAATGCCAAGCATTGTGTATGAATTATATGTTAGTTTTCCTTTTCATTAATTTCTTCTCTAATATTTAATATCTCTTTCATATTACTTTCCTTGGGTTTATTTTCCTGTTTTGTTTCTTAAAGTTGTTTAGGTCAACTGATTGCCAGCTTTTTTCCTTTTCTACCATAGACATTTAAGGTTATAAAATTCCCTGTAACGACGGCTTTAGGTACAACTCACAAATTTTGATACGTAGTGTTTTAATTATCATTCAGGTAAATAGTTTTTAAACTTTCATTGTGATTTCTTCTTTGACCCATAGATTACTTAGAAGTGTATTGCTTAATTTCCAAAACTGTGGTGATTTTATAGTTATCTATTATTGATTTCTAGCTTAATTGTGCACAGAACATAATCTGTATGATTTCAATCCTAAAATTTGTTGAAACTTAGCAACAAAAATTGAAACAAGCTGATTAAAAATGGGTAAAGGACTTGAATAGACATTTCTCCAAAGA